CCATAGTTTGAAAAGTTCTAAGTTCCTAGTAATTCTAATTCTTTGCGCTCTAGTGATTTCTCCCGTTTTCCCATCTTTCCCTCTTTATTTACTTTTACCCATTCACTATCCACAAAACAACAATTGCTTTCAGTTTACGAATCTCCATACATTTAGTAAGATGTATGTGATCCGGAAACGAAAGCTGACGGGAAATTCATGCCTTTCCCTAGTTAATGCAATAGCTTGCAATAGCTGCAATCTTTTCATTACCCATAAATCTTTAATTCATTCACACATTGACATGGTACACCGGTATCGTTATTTTTATAAGAAGACCTCAAATACGTGTCTTTCGCGCCTAAAAAACACGAAAATCTGCAGAAAAAAGTTTTCTTAATGTCTCAAGTTAAAGTGTGAGGATTTTTGACTCACATTTACCGTGAAAGTATACAAATTAGTAAAATATCATAGATTATTAGAATATTCTTCCCATATTTTATTCAATAAAACTAGTTAATATATAATTTTTGTATATTTTATTATATTATTACTTTCACAGTAAATGCCGTGAGTCAAAAATCCTCACACCTTAACTTCGGACATTAAGAAAACTTTTCTCTGTATTGTTTCTGGGCTAGTAAACTAGGTTTATTTTTCTCTATCTCTTTCTCTTTATCTATCTATCTCTTTATTTACTTTTACCCATTCACTATCCACAAAAAAACAATTGATTTCATTTTTAACACACTCACGAGATACCGAATTGATTTTCAACATTGAATTCTTGTCAATGTTTGAATGAATTAAAGATGTATGGGTAAGCAAAAGAAATAAGCTATTTGACAGTTGCACTAACTAGAGAAAGACACGAACTTCCCGTGAGCTTTCGATTTCGGACCACATACATCTTACTAAATCGATTCATAATCTGAAATCAAAATCTGTAAAGATACCATAATTTGAAAAGTTTTAACTTTCTAGTAATTCTAATTCTTTGCGCTCTAGTGATTTCTCCCGTTTTCCCATCTTTCCCTCGGTATCTCTTTATTTACTTTTACCCATTCACTATCCACAAAACAACAATTGCTTTCATTTTTAACACATTCACAAGATACCGAAATGATTCTCAAAATTCAATTCAAAACTTTGTCTTTGTCTTTGTCTAAAATTGTCAAAGAATCATATTTAAATGTGAAATATCTTATTGCTTTTAGATTATCTATACAGCTTTTTCATATCTATACATCTTTAATTCATTCACACATTGACAAAATACACTAGAATCTTTCCTCAATAATTCGAACTTTTCAAATTATGGTATCTTTACAGATTTTGATTTCAGATTATGATTCGATTTAGTAAGATTTATGTGGTCCGAAATCGAACGCTCACGAGAAGTTCGTGCCTTTCTCTAGTTAGTGCAACTGTCAAATAGCTTATTTCTTTTAGATTATCTATACATCTTTAATTCATTCACACATTGACAAAATACACCAGAATCTCTTCTCGATAATGCGTTAATTAAAAATTCTAAAAATTATTCGTTCCTAGGAGTAAACGGATATGGACTAGAATTTGGGTTAAGTTAACTTTTGATATCCTGCCATCTCTAGCACCCCGACAACCCAACTCAACTCCTCCAACTTATTAGAGGGGAGTCCCTGTGAAATGACCGACCTGAATTGCAGTTGCATAGACCTGAAACCATAGACCTGAACTGCAGTTGCATAGGAAGATATGTATTGGGTTGGGGAGAATGAATCGGCGCCAAAATGTTTTTGTTTGTTGTAATGTTTTTGGGCTTTCAATGTGAAAGGGATGGGCAAGATGAAGATTTGATGAAAAGGAGAGATTTGGCTAATTATTAGACTGTTTAGAAAGTCTTTTCGTTTCTTTTCGTATTTCCTTTGAAAAATAACAAATTCACTAAATTAACCTATGGTTTGCTTTAAATAAAAAGTGTTTCTCTGAAAATTTGGCTATATACCAAACTTTTTGTGCTCTATCTATGCTCTATCTTCTCTATCTTGACACCAAAATAGATTCCCTTAGCTAAAGAGTCTAAACCATATCAACGAGCATCCTTTTTGACTACCCGTCTTTAAGCTTCCAAAAAAAATTCAGGCATAAGAGATTTTAAACGAGTTTCAAGGTTATTTTGCAGAAAAATAATTGGCCTTTCTAATGAAACAAACCGTAGTTTAATTGATGCATTTGTTGGTTATAAACGGAAGTACGAAAATGAACAAAAAGGCTTTCTGGATAGCTTAATATAAGATCTGTTGCAAAGTTATCAAAATTATCAAAGTAAAAAATAGGACCCCTATGGTTAACTAACTGATTTTGTGGTACCGGTATTAAGGAAAGGCAAATGAATAAAAGCGGATTAGTTTTTTTGATTGAGATTAGGATAAAATAGGTATCAAGCTAAATATTGGGTTGGGGAGAATGAGTCGGCGCCCAACTTTAAAGGGACTTTTTGCACACATAAAGCCTTCTTTAAACATACGTTTGGTTTCATCAAAAGGATCCACTATTTCTCTACAAAATCACTTTTGAGAGATTCCACAAAGCTTTTCTTTCGTGGAGTTTATGAACTTCCAAACGCAGCTGGTTAAAATGGCAAAGAGTCCGACTCATCATTTGAACAGTTTCTTTCACATAAACCTTCTTTGGTGTTTATATAAAAAAGATAGAGCACATTCAATTACTTAAGTTGCCAAATTTGCAGGAAGATCCCACCAATGGTTTTTTCTAGATCACAGTTTGTAGTTTTTGTGAAAGAATGGCTTTTTCTTGAGCGGAGGCGCTGTTTGAATTTTCTTTTAAATGTCATTTTGCAGAGAATTAGTTAACCATTCTACTGATATCAAACGCATATTATTTGACAAAGTCGAATAGAAGTTTTAGACATTTTTTTGATTTTCGGCGCCGACTCATTCTCCCCAACCCAATAAATAAAGAGATACCGAGGGAAAGATGGGAAAACGGGAGAAATCACTAGAGCGCAAAGAATTAGAATTACTAGGAACTTAGAACTTTTCAAATTATGGTGTCTTTACAGATTTTGATTTCAGCTTATGAATCGATTTAGTAAGATGTATGTGGTCCGAAATCGAAAGCTCACTGGAAGTTCGTGCCTTTCTCTAGTTAGTGCAACTGTCAAATAGCTTATTTCTTTTGATTACCCATACATCTTTAATTCATTCAAACATTGACAAGAATTCAATGTTGAAAATCAATTCGGTATCTTGTGAATGTGTTAAAAATGAAATCAATTGTTTTTTTGTGGATAGTGAATGGGTAAAAGTAAATAAAGAGATAGATAGATAAAGAGAAAGAGAAAGTACACTAAAAAAAGTTTTTGAACTCAAATTCACTGTGTTTTGATGAGCTCAATCAGTCAATATCTTTTTCTTTTCCTTTTTCAGATTTAGAGAGCACTCAATCGGTCACATAGCTGAGAGAAAATTTCCTTTTTCCTTTCCCTTTTCTTTTTCTCTTTTTTTTGATCTGTCTGACCATTGAAATCTCTTGTCAAATCGATGACAAATTGCATTTTTTTATGTTTTCTTTTATATTCAAAAATATTTTACGGATCTACAAATACAAAAAAATTTGTTTTTTTGATAAAAAGTTGTCTCTAAAATGTTCAGATTTTGAATTTCAGAGTTGAATTTAAACTTTTTTCTAAGATAATTTCAACTCGAAATTGTATTTTTAATTAAAAATTGGTAAACACGTCGTTTCTGGCTCACTTATTAACCATTTTTCTTTCCCGCCGCCACTGACCAGTGGTCACTGACTCTTTTGAAAGTTACGAGAATGAGCGTATTCTCTCTAATAGTAGTGGACTCTGCCGAGCCGAGTTGATGACTGTTTTACGGTTTCCAAGCTTTTGCAGAACCTCAACACTCTAATCCCCCACGAGATCTCATCGTCAGCTACATTTTCCGACCCCACATCGATAGGTTCTGATAAGCGGTTCTCGAGATTTCGAGCAATTTAGGCAACGCTCAGGGTGCATTATTATTAGAGAAAATACGGTAGTCATTCAGATGATGTGAATTTTCATTTAAAAATGATATTAATCGTTTTGGTTTCTGGATTGTTGCAAAGGCAAGGTCAAAAGTCGGGTTCAGTTTGTCTTGATCTGCCTGGTCTTGTTTAAGTATCTAGACTTGGACTCTGACCTGGCCTGGCTAGGATCCGAGTTGGTGACGATTTTACGGTTTCCAAGCTTTTGCAGAACCTCAACACTCAAATCCTCCACTAGATCTCATTGTCAGCTACATTTTCCGACCCCACATCGATAGGTACTGCTAAGAGGTTCTCGAGATTTCGAGCAATTTAGGCAACGCTCAGGGTCCACTACTATACTATGAGATTCTTTTATGTTTTCTTTTATATTCAAAAATATATTACGGATCTACAAATGCAAAAAAATTTGTTTTTTTGATAAAAAGTTGTCTCTAAAATGTTCAGATTTGAATTTCAGAGTTGAATTTGAACTTTTTTCTAAGATAATTTCAACTCAAAATTGTATTTTTAATTGAAAATTATTAAACGCATCGTTTCTGGCTCACTTATTAACCATTTTTCTTTCTTTTTATGGAGAATTTGAGGCCGCTAGAAAGGATTTACCAATTTTAAGCACAAAGTACAGCGTCGAACTTTGACAACTCATTCAACAAGTTTCATTTGTTTTCATTTGTAAGTCAAAAAAAGAAACTGACTCAAAAATGCTTTCAAAAGACAGTCTTGACCTCAAAAATTGTATAAAAAAAGACAAAACAAAACTCACGCTATTCATTGTTTTTTGTTTTACTTTTATTTTGTCTTTTCATTTGCGACTTTAGTCTACACATTTGACTCATTTAACAACTTTTAATCTTTCAAACTTTCATCTTTCATTTCCACTCTAAACTAAACTCTACAAATTCTAATTTTCTGCAAAAATGAAGATTCTCGCTTTTTTCTCGAGAAAGAGATTTCTCAAATCTGATATTGAGATTGAAATGGATCAGAAAAGTGGACAGGAGAAGCTACTGTTGCCAGAACAAACACCGTACATTGGACCGCCACCAGTAAGCTTTACTAGATTTGAGCGGTAGAGATATCCCAAAAAGTAGATCTAAAGTAAAGCTTGATGTAAGCTAAAGTAAACAGCCGTTTTGTGCGCACATTTGGCCCTCCATTTGGCCCTTCATTTGGCCCTCCAAAGCAGCAAACAAAAAAGGCCCCAAAACTAAAAGTTTTTCTTTATTTCATCAAAAACTTCAAGCAAATCATATTTATCAGCAAAAAGCAAAAAGCTTATGATAATCGGGATTCCCAAGACGTCTCTGATTCAAGTACTTTGATTTAATTACCCAAGTTTGACGTTAGCGTGAACCCCAAGAAGCCCAGCTGTCTTGAGAAGATTTGAAACGCGTTCCCGCAAAGGGGATGCACAAATGAATGTGAAAATTGAAAGTAAAGAAGATTTCATGTTGTTCTTTTGTCAAAAATTCAAAATTTTTAGGACCAAACACGAAAATTTCCGAATCTCCGTTTCTTCGTTCTTATTTTGGGTGTCTGTTCAGCGGCTGCTCCTGTCTCATGCTTTTTCGCCTTTACTTTCGCGGTTGCTTGTAACAATCCACCTGGAATCAATCGATCAGCTGAATATTTAAAGTAAGAAAGCATCATAAATAATTAAATTAAACTCAATAGGTTTAAAATGCTTATTATAAACATCTCGACAAATTCAACTTTATTCTAGAGACCCGCACAACTCTCCTCTAATTTTCTTCGATCCCCTTGAGGAAAGCATCGCTTTCTCAGCTTACTCCATCGGAACTCTCATCATGTTACCAATTCTACCATTTCTTCGATTTGCCACAATCAGGTCAGACGAAGATTCTTAAGTTTACTATTTACTATCTATTGGTTTGGTGAATTGAAAACAGCCGGACTTTGAACTAAAATTTATTCAACATAAAACCATCAACTCATTCCAAATAATTTCCATTATTATTGACGACTTCTGCCCATTTTACAGGCAATTTGCCGATTCCTCTTTCGTAGTAGGATTTTGGTTTGTGTGTGAGACAAGTGTGAGGCTCAAAAATGGAAGACTGGAGATGCCCCAGTTTGAGCACTTTCTTCAAAAAGAAACCCATTTTGATGTCAATAGAAAAGTTGTAGAGAATCAAAACTTAGGCTTATAGCCAAATTTCCAAAAAGATACACGTGGTAGTTTCGCTTAAAATGCAAGTTTTGTGAAAATGCGTAAATTTGGCATTTCTTGAAAGCCAGTTTTTGAATCGTTCTGAAAATTTGGATATAAGCTTGATTTTTGATTCTCTACAACTTTCCATTGACACCAAAATGGGTTTCTTTTGAAGAAAGTGCTCAAACTGTCACATATGCCAATAGCCGGCACTTTTCAATTCACCAACCCAATATTTAAATCAAAAAAAAGGGATTGTTATAGAGTTTCAAACTTTTCTAGAACTCAAGTCTTCATCGGAGTTTTCTTGACCGGTATCTTGACGGCGCTCTTTCCGTTTCTTTTCGACAACTGGCCAATTTTGTCACTTGTATCCAGGTAAATTTAGAGATTACTAGGCTTTTGCTTTCTTCGGTACTTTAGTATGTAATGGAACTTACAGGGTAAATGATATCAAGTACAAGAAATAGAAAAATTAGACGAAAACTAGTGGTATGTTGCCGAGAAAGTACAGTAGTCGAGAAAGTTTACACGTTTTAGAAAACGGCAGAACACAAAAGGAATACACTTTAATTTGTACATGATTCGCAAAGAAAGATTCCCATTTTACCCTCCAGATTTCTCCACGGTGCCGCAGCTGCTCCAACGATCCCCTTGCTTGGCCATCTCTGCGCTCACTGGTGTCCAAAGAAAGAAATCGGTCTCTTCGTTGGTGCGATCACTTGCTATTCACAGGTTCTAATCTATTTCTGCTTCAATTACCCAATCTTAGTTCGCCATTTTTTCACGATGGCCGTTAGCGGGGTGACTTGTGAAATGGGCGGATGGAGGCCGATTTTCTATCTTCACGGATCGGTCTCCGTAATCATTGCCGTATTCTGGTACAGTGAACTGAAAATTTTGAGATTTGAAAGATTACAGGCTGATTTTCTTCATTGATTACCCACATAAACATCCGTATTTATCGAATCAAGAATACCAGTTGTTGCACTCGGACACTCGGTCACCGATGGGGCAAAATGAGCAGCCGAAAGTACCGTATTGGTGAGTGAAAGGGAAATCCATCTAGCTACTATATAAAGCAGAAGTCTGTCTGTCTGTCTGTCTGTCTGTTTCTCTGTTTGTCTTCTGTCTGCCTGTCTGCCTGTCTTTCTGTATGTTTGTCTGTCTATCTGTCCGTTTGTCTGCCTGTATGTCTGTTTGTCTGTCTGTCTGTCTGTTTGTCTGCTTGTCTGTTTGTCTTCTGTCTGCTTGTCTGTTTGTCTTCTGTCTGCTTGTCTGCCTTTCTTTCTGTCTGTCTATCTGTCTGTCTGTCTGTCTGTCTGTCTGTCTGTCTATCTGTCTATCTGTTTGCACTTTTCTCGACGCCCTGATACTGAAATTATAGCTCTTTAAGCCATCCTAATCCAATTTTCTTTAGCAAATTGGTCTCAAACAAAGGCATCGTCGCTGTGCTCATTGCCGCTATTGGGAACTACAATGGAATCAGTCCACTCATCGTCTTTTGTTCCCTTTTGATGAGGGTAAGCTCAATCAAGATTAATCCTATTGTTAAGTTCTCCTATCGTCTCAAAATTTGTTGTACTTTATGCTCAAAAATGAGACACACCCTTTTAGCGCAATCACTTATGTATTCGTTTTGAATCCTCAATTCGTAGTAGTAGAATTGAATGTAGAATTGAATGCGCCAAAAAAAGGGTGCATTTACATTTCAAAGTCGGTTCAAACTCTTATCAATTTCACTCAATTTTCAGAAAGGTTTGGGCAGTTCGGAGCTCGAGATCTCTTCATACATCTCCGCCTCTTTTGCCATTCAAGCTTTCTTCAAAATATTGAGTGGTTGAGGAAATTTTCTGTTTTCAAAAAAAACCAATGCCTTCAGGTGTTCTAAGTGATAAAATGAAGGGATTTTCGGAGAAAAATCGTCTTCGTCTCTTCAATTCACTTTCTTGTGGCCTCTCCGGGGTATTGATGATCGGAGTGGCTTTCTTGAATCCAAAAGATAAGGTGCGATATTGGGATTGAAACCTGTTTGCTAAAATTTGTCAACTTTCGAAAAGCTACCGTACTTTTACTTGTGGTTTTCATCTAATCTATATAAGCTATTGTTTTTTTCATCTTTCAAATCCTTTTTGAAAGCTCACAGAATCAGATTCAAAGTAGATAGATTCGATAAAAACAGAAACAAGATAGCTTTTGAAATTTTTCAAGTTTTAGAGAACGTTCCTCTAATTTAGACTCCGTTTTTTAAAAAAGTAGATACCGTATTTTTCTAATAGTAGTGCACCCCGGCGAGCCGAGTTGGTGACTATTTTACGGTTTCCAAGCTTTCAAAGAAGCTCAACACTATAATCCCCCACAAGATCTCATCATCAGATCAACATTTTCCGACCCCACACCGATAGGTTCTGATAAGCGGTTCTCGAGATTTCGAGCAATTTAGGCGATGCTCATGGTGCACTACTATTAGAGAGAATACGGTAATTACATAATTCAGTTTACAATTACACAATCACATTCAATTACAAACAAATGGATTACCGTATTTTCTCTAATGGTAGTGCACCCCGGCGAGCCGAGTTGGTGACGATTTTACGGTTTCCAAGCTTTCGCAGAACTCAGCACTCTAATCCCCACTAGATCTCATCGTCAGCTACCATTTTCCGACCCCACATCGATAGGTTCTGATAAGCGGTTCTCGAGATTTCGAGCAATTTAGATGCTCAGGGTGCACTACTACTAGAGAAAATACGGTAATTTGGAAAACGATCGTAATCGTTTCTTCAGCTTTTCTCCGTTCTGTTTTTGCTAAGTTTTAATCCATTTTGATTCTCTTCGAAGGAGATAATAACTAAGTCAATCCCGACAAAAACTGAAGAAAGATTATGGTAGTTTTTGACCACATTAAGTGAGATAATCATTGTCGTCTCTTATAGATCCTCTGCTCGATAATGCTAACAGTAACTCAAGCGATCATCGGCTTCAATTCGGCCGGTTTCAATCGAGCGGCAATCGTTGTCTCTGTAAACACTTGAAAAGGACCAAAAAAAACAATAACATTTTCAGAAAATATGCCTCTTTTATAATGACAATCATCGGCATAATTGTCTCCTTATCGACGGTCATCGAACCGTACATCATGCAGCCGCTGTGGCACCCGATCACACGTGGGGACAATGGTACGCGTTGCTATCGAAATCGGGGCAATTACTAATTAGCTAAAGCAGATTGCATACAGATCCAACTTATGGATCTAATACAGCCTTGTAACAGATCTAGCTTAGCCGATATCAGACCTAGCCTAAAGGAAATTTAACTGTGGAAACTTTTTTGGAGAATTTCTCAATAAAAAACCCCTATAACTCGACGTACAAGCGTCGGATCGACTCAGGGTTGGTTTTAAAAGAATCTACAGAAAATTCTGTTATAGAAATGTGCAATTTGTAGAATTTGTTTGCTAAGAAACAATTGAGTTATAGAGATTCTCCCTTACCGCCACCCCACTGCACTTTTTTGGGGAATTTTTCACAAGACAGGCGAGGTGTAGGTCCTTGCTGACTGGCATACAGAAAACACGCTCCAGCAGAACCCTTATAGTAAGAGCTTGTCCTGGCCCAGATCGCATAACCAGACCAGATCCAGGCCAAAAGCAAGACATGGGCAGGTTCTAAGCTGGCTTCTGATGTGCCAAGGCTTGGCTGGCTCCTGGCTTCGTTGTCTTACAACCCCTGAACCAAAGCCAGGTCGTTCTGATTTGACTATGAGAAACAGACCAGACCAGGCTACAGCCTTATCAAGAAGACTAGAAGATCCTTGAACCTAACAGGCTACTGTATTTTGGGTCTAAACATTGTATAAAAATTTCCAGGTTTCCTCTTCTCGTCGTTCATGGGGCGATCCTCATTATCTCGAATGCTCTTTTCTGCTTACTCACTGACGGGAAACCGTTTCAAGAATGAGAAACGAATCCAATATAGGCAATGATAAGACGTGAATAAATTATTTCATTGAATACCGAACAGGTACAGAAATTTGACTTAAAATCAAAGATTTTTCAAGCGAGAGGAGCTCGTCTTTTACCAGTAAAATGAGCACAGTTTATTGAAAAAGATAGAAACTATTTTGATTGATTTAGATGGCTTTATTGAATAAATCTTTCTGAAATTGAAAATCACTTATCGGCCAATCCAATAATAAACGTGTGCCTCTTTTTCCACATTGCCTCCATGGAATCCAATAAGTCGAATGAAAGATTCCAGATTCTCTAAGCTCATCAAGCTCTTCTTTGAAGCTCTTGTATGCTTCTTTGAAGCTCTTGGCATGCTTCTTTGAAGCTCTTGTATGCTTCTTTGAAGCTCTTGTATGCTTCTTTTGAAGCTCTTTGTAAATTTGAAACTGAGCTAACTCCATTTCTTTTCAACTGATCTTGTTGAAAGTAAAATATAAGAATGGTCATAAGTTACAAGGCCATAATCCCTCAATGCTGGCGCATATGGGCGCTGTGTGTGGTGACGAATCCGAGAAATTTTCGAGGAACTTAAATACATTCTCATTTACCATTAGCAAATTCAAACCTTCTTGATATTAGCCTTGGTGAAAACGATTCTGCACGATCAAAATTTCTTCCTAACTCTTGAAAGCGTTTGATCGCGTTGTAAACAAGTTGTTTGTGTATCATCAATCGCTTCAATGAGATATCCATCGCCAGAACGCGACGCTTGTGTAGATTAGGAGTGTGCTCCTTGTTGACAGATAGTATTTTGTCAGACAAATTCATCTGACAAACTCCTTGTCAGACAATTGATCCGACAAACTTCCGACAACGCGTTTTCTAAAAGGTGCGCTTTTTAAGCAAAGCTATAAAGGGTGGCGCTGAAAAAATTTGCAAACTTTTCTTAAAATGTAGTAATGGATAGTTTTATTTAAGGATTTAGGTTTTTTAGGGCGTGGAATTTTTTTGGAATGGTTCTAGTGCAAATGAGACATTAGGCCTGGTAAGTTCGTAAATAATATCATTTTAATAGTGTTTCTTAACTTTTCCGTTTTAATGCTTTCTTTAATTTTACATAAGCATTTAAAAATATGAAGTTTTAGAAAGGGTAATAATAGAAAAAAAGAGCGCAAGATTTTAATGTAAATTTGCATTTTGAAAATTTACTGATGCAAAGCAAGGGTTACGGTAGCTTTTCCTTGGCGCGCGCTTTTTGGAAAACGCGTTGTCTGCAAGGAACACACTCTTAGTGTAGATCAATGATCACATCCTCGGTACACTGATTTGACCATTCTAAAGAGACATTTTTGCGAAAATAGTAAGTAAAATAGTTAAATAGATTAAAAAACCAAAAAAGACAAAACAATATATAAATTGTAAGCAGAAAATTTAGACGACTACAGGGTTGTACAGGATTACGGGGACTAAAAGAACTTGAGGATTTAAGGACCTTAAACTTATAAGCTTCCATTCCCACGACGATTTTTGACAATACGGCCCATAGAGTTCGAGAAATTCCCATATTCTTTGCCATTCTGGCCTGCGAACGAGTGGCTTTCAAGCGTAGCTGATCTCGAACCTTCTTGATATTAGTTTTGGTAACAACGGTCGCTTTGCCACTCACGTCCGGAACGATCAGAATTTGTTCCTTAACTCTGAAAGCGTTTGATCGCATAAAGAACAAGTCGTTTGCGTATCAATCGCTTAGAGACATCCATCGCCAGGAACGCCAGACTTTGTAGATCAATGATCGCGATCTCAGTACACTGATTTGACCATTCTAAAGAGACATTTTTGCGGAAATAGTAAGTAAATAGTTAAATAGATAAAATAAACCAAAGAAGACAAAACAATATTTAAATTGTAAGCAAAAATATACAATATCAAGTTCTGAAATCCTGGACAACCCCTGTATTTTGATTGATTTAAATGGCTTTATAGAATAAAGGTTTCTGTTTGAAATTGACTCATTTATCGGCCAACCCAATAGTGCTGAAATCTTTCGTAGTTAGTTGAATGGCTTTGTGCAGAACGTGGCTCTTTTCTGTGAAATCATATTAATGTTTCTTGATTTTGAGTATCTGATTCTCTTGTCCCGCCTATCTAAAAGATCGTTTTAAGCTAAAAGGGAGGAGCCCACTTTGTATTGTCTCTTCGTTTGTCTTTTCGTATTGCTTGAAACACTGAACCAACTATGCAGATTCTATTTTATTATATATTTTCTCGCTAGATTAGTATTGTGCTAGATTCGGAATAAATATCTAATAATCATTGCCCCAAGCGGTACTCTCTCACACTGCACAGATCGCATATCCAGTACACTGATTTGACCATTCTAAATAGTAAGTAAATAGTAAGTAAATAGTAAGTAAATATTGGGTTGGGGGAGAGTAGTCGGCGCCGAAAAATCAAAAAATGTCTAAAACTTCTATTCAGACTTCGTCAAATAATATGCGTTTGATATGAGTAGAATTGGTTAACTAATTCTACAAATGACATTTAAAAGAAAATTCAAACAGCCCCACCGCTCAAGAAAAGGCCATTTTTCACAAAAACTACAAACTGTGATCTAGAAAAAACCATTGGTTGGAATCTTCCTGCAAATTTGGCAACTCTAAGTAATATGAATGTGCTCTATCTTTTTTTATATAAACACCAAAGAAGGTTTATGAAGGAATGAAACTGTTCAAATGATGAGTCGGACTCTTTGCCATTTTTAACCAGCTGCGTTTTGGAAGTTCATAAACTCCACGAAGAAGCGTTTGTGGAATCTCTCAAAAGTGATTTTGTAGAGAATAGTGGATCCTTTTTGATGAAACCAAACGTATGTTTAAAGAAGGCTATTTTGTGTGCGAAGTCCCTTTAAAGTTGGGCGCCGACTCATTCTCCCCAGTCTAATAGTAAGTAAATAGTTAAATAGATAAATTAAACCAAAAAAAAGACCAAACAATATTTAAATTGCAAAAGCAAAATATGCAATATCAAAGTTCCCGAAATCCTGGACAACCCTGTATTTTGATTGATTTAAATGGCTTTATTGAATAAAGGTTTCTGTTTGGAATTGACTCATTTATACCGGCCAACTTCAATGGTACCAGAATCAAGATAGATGAAGGGGTTGATAGCAAGCTCCTTAAGATCTTTCGCAAGAAATCTTTGCGTAAAACAATTACTTATCATGTGTTACTTCTTGAGCAAAGTGATTGAGTCAATAGTCCAATCCTTATCCACTGTTCTTCATTGTTCAAATACTTTTTCCTTTATCCAAAATAAAGAGAACAGCTTTCTTTAGTTCATTTTATTGAGTGCAATAAGTTTTTTAAAGTTCTTGGAGCGACAACAAGAAATGCGAAAATTTGACTGATGAACTGCCCGGCCAAATTGATTAAATTGACAAAACTGACTGACTAATGGACTAAATTGACTAAACTGACTGATTGAATTGATTTAAATTGACTAAATTGGCCGAATAAATTGGTTAAATTGACTAAATTGGCTGACTAAATTGGTTAAATTGACTAAATTCACTGACTAAATTGGTTAAAATTGACTAAAGTGACTGAATAAATTGGTTACAATTGACTAAACTGACTGACTAAATTGATTCAGTTGATTAAATTGACTACATTGACTCCATTAAATTATAACACGATAAGATTTGTGGAGATAAAGCTGAATAATCCACTAATGAACGTTCCCCTCATCAAAGTCCTTCACTAAATTCTTTTTTTTTAATTAAACCAACTATAAAATAACCATGATAAAGCTACATTCAGGCTTTTAACTTCAAAAATTCAATGAAAAACCTCATTAGACTTTTTTAAATCTTAAAAGTCTAAAAAAGTTATGGTAAAAGTTCGTTTATAAACCTCAATGTGTAAAAGAAAATCCACTATTTCTACTTTTCATACAAAATTGATGTCGAAATCATTCTTTTTCTTTGCTTTTCAACTCATTCAATCTCTTTGGCTCCTGATAAGACTCGAGAGACTCAAAAATGCGAACATATCGATTCAATAACCCATTTTTGAAAGGCTTAAAATTTTCTCTTGAAAATCTTGTTATTATTTAACTTTTTGAAGGAAAACTTCTGAAAAAACGATTTGAAAAACGATGTGAAAAACGTCATTGCCACAGTCTTCCGAAATATTTACGCAAGAGTAATTGCTTCGTCAGTTGTTCCATTTAGTCAAAGAATTCATGTTTTCTTTTGTAATCATAATTTTTTCTTTTCTTTCGTTTATTTTTCTTTCTTTGTAAGCTTGTCTGCTTGAAAGCTGGTCAAAAGTTATCCAAACAGAATTAAAATCCAAATTCCCAATTAGCAAATATTTTGTATTGATTGTTTTCTTGATCTGGAAAGCTGTTCACTTTCCATTTGATTAGCTAATAAGTGTAAAAACAAAGGAGCTGTAATCACTTCACTTTTTTAATATTTTTTTTACAAGGTAGAATTTTCAGGTTCAATCTTTTGATCTCAGCAAAATAGCTGTTGAGTGGTTAAAACTCGTTTTTCTTTTGTAGACTTATTGAAAAGCAGACCAAGAAATGAACACGATCTTTCAAATGAACAGTATCAAATGAACAGCTTCCAAATGAACAACTCAAGTGAGCAGCTTCAAATGAGCAGCTGCCGAAATGAACAGCTTTTATAAATGAACAGCTATCAAATAAACAGCTTTCAAGTGAGCAGCTTCAAATGGACATCTTTCCAATGAACAGCTTTCAAAGGAACAGCTTTCAAATGAACAGCTTTCAAATGAAACAGCTTTCAAATGAACAGCTTCACATGAACAACTTTCAATGAACAGCTTTCAAATGGAACAGCTTTTAAATGAACAGCTACTAAATAAACAGCTTTCAAGTGAGATACTTCAAATGAACATCTTTCCAATGAACAGCTTTCCAATGAACAGCTCAGAACAGAACAGCTTTTAAATAGAACAGTTTTCAAATGAGCAGCTTTCAAATGAACAGTTTTCAAATGGACAGCTTTCAAATGAACAGATTTATTTTTGTCATATTTTGTTGTTGATAACTTTATGGATTCTTGATGAGAAATTGGCTTCTTGACAAGAATCCATTTCTCTATTTAACTTCAGCGCAAAAAGTGGCCAAAGATCAAGCCGCTCAAACCCGGACTCTCTCGCAGAACTCTCGAACGACAACAGCTTTACGAGAGATCGAAGAGGGAGAAAAAGTAAAAACTATTCAGTTTAACTATTAAACTATTAAAAACTAAACAATAATTACTATTCAGTACAGTACTTTTCACTAAAATTAAAGCATTTAGTAGGTTATCGGACGATTTGATACGCGTTACATTTGACATTTGACGCGTGGGAAGCGCTTTGTGTGGTTTGTGTCTGGGTTAACGAAGCGGAATCTAAGAACCAAGAAACTAAGAAGCTAAGAAGAAACTAAGAAACTAAGAAAACGCGATACCTATAGGCAGATTCAGACGATGCAAAGTCCAAAAAAAAAAACCAAAATTTACATAGAGCATTGCTTGGTAAACGGAATGTGTAAAAACGCGAAAAAAAAATCTCACGTATTAATTGTCCTGTTTTGCGTATCAAAATTTCAGTGTATCAAATATCACACAATCTTTAGGGCTTCATTGGCATGCCAAGGAATTGTCTGGAAGACAGTAAAGATCGGACTCTGCTCTCAGTAGCCGTTTTCACGACGCTCATTCTCGTTGACTTATGTAAGTCGTTTAACAAATTCACAGCGATCCAAACCACCGCTGGAGTCGTTCTAATGACAATTATTTTTGGTATTAACTCGTTTTTAAGAATTTTATTAGTCATTTCGCAGAAAGCCGAAAGTAACTTTGTACTAGTTTTAAAGAGGAGATTCAGGGCTATCGAATGACTATATTAGTTTAGTTGATCTTTGAATTTACACCAAATTATTAGTAAAAAAGTTAATGACTACGTGACTGTACGCTCAAAACGTGTTAACACGGTCTTCAAAGGGATCCGAATCGAATTTTTCTTTTCCAGAGCAAACTGATTGCATAGATTGGTCTAGCTTAAACGAAAGCGCCAAAAGTCATCTTTGACTTGTACTTACTCAAGTACAGAAATGTTAACCCTAACGTTGTTTACCTACCGAAATTACTGTAATAGTAACCCACCTCGTATAGTGGTCGTAGTCGCAAAGTTTTTTTGTATTTCATTGTTTTCAAAGCGCCCGTAGTTTCGAAAAATGCGGCTTTGGTATCGAAAAAAAAGCTGAAATTCAGGGTTATTTTTTGATCCCTATGCGCGATTGTAGCGTAAACCAGTGTCGAGAAAACTCGTTCAGCGCTAGACTACGCAACACTCCGCATCGTCATTATGGGGGTGGGGTACTATTACAATATTTACGGTATGTTAACCCTTCTCTTTTGCTTCTGGATTTGCAAAGTTAATTTGTTCTCCGTTTCAAATAAGTCCGAACCTCTCTATAACGGAACTCACGCGGGACGGCTACGTTATATGAGGTTTACGTTATATAGAGAGTGCCGTTTTATATAGCTGTAGACGTCGGCCGGGACCGGTCCGCCTTACGTTGAATAGAGAGGTTCGACTCACACAAGCTTATTTGAAATTGAAATTCATTTGAGATTCATTTGAAATTCATTTGAAATTCATTTAAAATTATTTTTTCATGAGACTTTAAAAATCTTTTTGCTATCAAGTTTTACTATCAATTTGGTGAAACTTAGTTTGAAAATCTAAGATAAGCCAAAGCCTAATGACATTGAAACCATTAAAATCCGACTCTTGAGCACACCAAAAATCTCAGGGATCACCGCCGTTACGTCACGATTGCTTTTGAGGAATTCAAAAATGAGTAAAGAGCAAATATTTAAATGTTTTAGATTAATTAAAAAAATATTTTTTAGATATGAAAGAAATTTCGATAGTGTTGAAGAGGAAAACTATCGTTTCGATGTTTTCGTGCGGAAGTGAAAGAATGGGAAGAAGAGGAGAAAAGAGTTGGCGGGGGATTTGGGTAAGGAGTGAGAGATTCTTGGAATAACTGAATATTTAGATCTTGACGTCACACAGTTTGCCGATTACACTGATGACGAGTTGAAAAGGGTAAGAATGACTAGTACTGTACGCTGAATTTTTTCAAACTCATTGTCCCAGGTGTACGTTGAGCTCAAAAATCTAAACACACTCCTCCTGGATTGCACTCAATTCTTTATTTTCTCAGGAACAAAAATTCATTTCCAAAGAAAAGCATAAATTGATGAATCAGAAACCAATTATCTTGAAGAAAATGGAATTGAGCCGTGCAAAAGTCCACTGAAATATCTTGTTTTCTAATAGAAGGATTTCTATGTAAGAATGTTTTTTATGCTAGCTGGATAGCAACTTATGAGGGGGTCATGCTAGCTGAGTAGCAACATATTGGGTTGGTGAATTGAAAACTGCGGGACTTTGAACTAAAATTCATTCAACATACAACCATCAATTCATTCCAAATAATTTCCATTATTATTGACGAGCTTCTTCCCACTTTAACCTTTAAAAGGCAATTTGCGGACTCCTCTTTCGTAGTAGGATTTTGGTTTTGATTCGAAAACTTTCAAAAGCCAATTTTTGACGGCTTCTTCCGAATCCGAAGTGTTCTCCCGCAAGCTCATTACTCATCATCCGGAATCAATAGTAATCAAAAGGGGCGAGGTCCGGACTGTATGGGGAATGCGCCAAAAGTTCCCAAACAAGCCTATTTATCATTAGAGCGAGTCAGTTTTGCAACATGAGGGCGCGCGTTGTCGTGAATGAGAACGATCTTTGACTTAGAGGGCCTATTATTCTTCAGGATTCATTCACCTTTCTAACTCTTCACTGTATTTGATTGCCTTGAACGGTCGCAACTTAAAAATGGTCATGCTCGCTGAGTCAGCAACTATTAAGGTTGGTGAATTGAAAACTACGGGACTTTGAACTAAAAATTTATTCAACTTATAAAACCATAAATTCATTTCAAATAATTTCCATTATTATTGACGCCTTCTGCCCATTTTAAAGGCAATTCGCGGATTCCTCTTTCGTAGTAGGATTTTGGTTTATGTGTGAGACAAGTGTGAGACTCAAAAATGGAGGACTGGAGATGTCTGCCCAGTTTGAGCACTTTCCTTTAAAAGAAACCGAGTTTGGTGTCGATAGAAAAGTTGTAGAGAATCAAAATTAGGCTTATAACCAAATTTCCAAAAAGATGCACTTAGTGGTTTCGCTTAAATGCAAGTTTTGTGAAAATTCGTAAATTTGGCATTTCTTGAAAACCAGTTTTTGAATCGTTCTGAAAATTTGGATATAAGCTTGATTTTGATTCTCTACAACCTTTCTATTGACACCAAAAGGGTTATGAGAAGAAAGTGCTCAAAATGTGACATATTATAATAGCCCGCAGTTTTCAATTCACCAACCCAATAAAAAAAAGAATCCTATCCCCGCAAACTAATTTTGTGATCTGCGAATTAATATATTGCATGAAATTTATACATTTTTAAAGTATAAAAGGGAATTTGTTGCAGTTTTAAAAAGCTTTAAAAATCAGCTAAAGCTTGAGCAAAACTTGAGCCTCAGCGGGATGCAGGGTAGCAATGTCGGCCATAATTTACGTGAATAAATCGTTTCCTTTGTTGCATTGTAATCCTTTGTCTTTTGTTGCCGAAATAAATTCAAACAGGTAAGAGTCGAGGTGTTGTTCGTGGTGTGCTCCTCTTTAGCGTTTGTTTCTCCACTTGGTTTCAATTTTATCCCCACACTTCGATATGCAAATTTAAGCTTAAATTCAAAATTGTATAAATTTGCAGGGATAAGATTCACAAGAATACCCTAAAGAAGTTATTGTTTAGATTTTTGAGTTTTACGATTTTAATTTTTACTTTTGTCGTACCCATTGTACAACAACAGTTTAACCCCCAATACAAGAGCTTTAAACGTTGAAATGTTTCAAGGAGTTTGTGGGAATGTATTAACTGATTGCAAAAACTTAGGTGCTAATGTCCGATGATGAAAGAGATGCCGATGGAAGGTTCAACGTCTGAAGAAATCCTATATCTCTGAGGGTTTCAAACAGACCCGAATCGATCGACTGGCGTAGCTCGGGAAAAGTGAGCTCCGTGAAAGATCAAGGGTTGGTTGAGTGTTGAAATTCCTTTGACCAAAACCAAAGGTACAGTCCTACAGTACGTCAAAGTGCACATCAAAAATTGACATTGCCTAGTTTTATTCCATAGTTGGTGGCCAGCTTGCAATCGTTTCCGTCTCTTCCGTGTAAGGGGGTAGACTTTCTCTTCAACGAGATCGTTTTCTGAATCCATCTCGACAAATATAGGCAAATATAGGATAGCCTAGTTTATTCGATAAAATGATCAGTTTTAACTCTTTTGTAAATGCTCAAAACCACAATTCGACAAGATTTCAGCTCAATGTGGCAGTTGTTGGATTTTCGCGACGGTGGCGAGCATCCGAATCAGTTCACGCAATCAAGAAGATGCAATTGGTGTGGATTGATAAAAGTCTAAATTTCTTACATATAGACAAGATTATCAGCTATTTTCTCAGAATTTAATCAGTACTCAGATCTGAGTTTTTATTTTATCCTTTCAAAAATCATTCACGAAATTACAGTACTCACTTTCCGAGCACGGAGTTGAGTTGACTGTGAGCACGATCAAAAGGGGATGCAATGGCGGATATCGACCATATGCTTTCAAGTATTAAACCTCGTAAGCTTAATACAAATTTTGTCCAGATGGATTCAGAGAAAACGGTCTCGTTGAAGAGAAAGCCTATCCTTACACGGGAAAAGACGGTAGAAACGATTGCAAGCTGGCCACCAATGGAAACGGTTGGGTTTTGAGGTTGAATGGAGTTTGTTAGGTCGTGTAACTCTTGGTCAACAAAAAAACACCAACTTTTTTAAATACTTATTTAACATATCCAATTTCATTACAATGGCTGGAATTTCCAGAAGTGGATCTGCATTGATGACTACAATATTCTCTCGAAAAACGAAGACGCCATCGCTGATTGGATTGCCTCCAGGACCGGCTTCTTTCGGTGAGTTATTCAATCTCATGATCTCTAATGATTTCGCATCTTTGAAGTGAATCTGGATCAACCCAAAAGAAGCGCTTTTAAAGAGCTATCATAATCTTAGTAGCTTTTAGATGAAAATGTGTAGATTTCAAGGCATACAGTACATTACAGGCATGAGCGTCACAAAAGCCTCTCTTCTCCTATCGATCTGGAATCTTCCACCAACCAACCGAGGAGTGCTCGGAAAATATCAATGGATCTCAGCAGTGACCATCATTGGATTACGGTAATTGATTAAAAGCTGGTGAAATTGAAAACCTTGATAATTGACACAAGTTTCAGGTTTCGAGAACGGGCATTACTATTGGTGGGTAGCTAGAAAAGCCGTTAGGTTAGCCGCTAGGGAATCGACGGATACTTCAAATTGGCACGAGGTAAGTGGGGGAAATGATTTGGACAAGAAATGACGCTGCCAACCCAAGAGATTTTCAGCAGGGACTTAAAAAAGTGCAAGGAATCAAATATGAGTTGTGTTTCACATAGAGCAGTTATTGGCGAAAATTTAGAAAACCCAAAAGATTTCCAGGCCACAACGTTTGTGGAATGAGCCGAGATTGTCGTGGCTCCGATCATTAATTGAACAACTCGAGAAGAGATACAAAGTTTGGTGCTACCTCTCCATGTTGCTAATGAATCTGTTGATAAAATTCTGTAGCTCCATGAAACATTACAATGCCGAACTTACAAATCGATTGTTACCCATTTCTTTTCTAAAACATTGCCTTTTATTACCGAAGAACGGTTCTAACATGACATTTTTATCTTTTCTTTGACTCATTCTTCTCGAGATCGGTGCGTCACGGTCGAAATCAATGATGAGACTGTTATCCTCCGAATTGACTCTTCTCCCTAAAGAAGATTTTTAAGTTTAAAATACAAAATAAGTATTAGATATTACCGGTAAAAATAGTACAAAATTATTTATAATACCATACAATTAAAGAGCGTACCGATAGTACTCCTCTTCCGAATCTTGCGTGTGACTCTTCCCATTCGGTGCTCAATGTCTCCTCCTCAACCACATCATCACCATCATCGGCTTCTTCATCGCTCAAGTCTTGCCACGGATCGCGCGTAACGCCATTTCGTCGCCGAAAACCGTCAATTTCTTTAATCTAGCAGTAGACGATATTGCTTTTCCGAAGTCATAAAAAATGGCACCTGAGGCAACGTTTGAGCTACACACGGTTTCGATATTTCTGCGTATTCGAGGTAGATATTCCCATTCATCTCAAAAAGCAACCGATTGAAGTGATGGAAGAGTGGCAAGAATTGACAAGTCATCCCATAAGTGAGCTAAACATTTTGAATGATAAAAACTAGGTCTCAGAAATAAAATCATCATGATAATTCTAAACTTTTAATCATCATGACTATCATTTTTAACTTAAAGACCTTGTTTGCACGAATCCAAAATCGACTGAGCGAGTGAAGATGGCTAACATTCTCAATGCATTCGATGCGATTTTCATTCAAAGTCGAGGCACTTCAGCTTCTCCAATATTCGAGTCTAAACTTTACAAGAGGTAAATGATAACCGTAAATAAAAGCACAAATAGAACGCACCCTTAATTTTGAGAGATCCCATTCTGGAGCGGAGGCTTAATTCCTCGAAGATTATGCAACTCGTTTGTTGACCCGTGATTTCAGTGAGAGCATTTCCAGGAAGAGAAAGAGTCTTCAGTGATTCACCAAGTGGTTCAGACCTAAATAAAGTCAATCAATTGGGTGAGTTTTGTTTTGTTAATGGATAAGAGATTATCCAACCCAGTGAAAAACTGACCTTCAATTGACACGAATCTGATTGACTCCGAGAAAGAGCTTTCCAACTTTTGAAGATTGCCAAGTCCAGCGATTTTAGTGATCCGATTGTCTGCCAAGTTCAAAAGTAGGGTCAGCTCCGATAACTAAGCAAAAGTAAATTAAAGTTCTTTAAAACATTATGTGGTAAAATCGTACCGTATCCAATCCTTCAATTTTTGTGAGCTTGTTGTTGACAAGGTAAAGAGTTTCCAAACGTGTTAATGTGGATAAACCTAAATTTTAGATGCAAGTAAACAAAAAGCAAACCAAGTCCACCTCCAATTTTTTGATTCGGTTAAACGAGAGATCCAACAAGCGGAGATTCGTTAATGTTTCCAAGCCCCCAATCTTCTGAATCTAAACAAACCTTGATTAATCCATTAAAAACAATAAAGTCCCCTGATTGTCATGCAAAGAGAGCTTCGTAGGGGCCGTAAGCTTTGTTAAGACCCTTCGATCTTCGTTAAGAGATTCCATCTGAACAAGAATATTTTATGAGGGTTTAAAAACAAACCGCAGACAAAGAGAATCAAGCTGTGGCAGGGAAGGAATGTTGGAATCTTTGAGGATTCGACATCGGGTTAAATCCAACGATCGCTCATCTTCCAACACATCGACATCTAAAATCAAAAATGTATAAAATAGATTAGTTCCCATAAAAATACCTAAAAATGTACTAACCAAAGAATCTTTTATTACGTGAGTGCCATCGTTTGATCGAATGATTTCGAAGGTAATCGTCTAAATCAAAAATATAATTGGTGAAATTTCATAAATCCTTCCAGTAACATGTTCTAACTCAACAAAGAGTGGCACTGTTATCCTTTAAAACACTCTAAATCCCCAAGAAAATGCTATATTTCAAAGCAGTCCTATAGTTTTATCACCAAAATGTGGCAATAACTTTACTGATCATCCCTGAGAAGTTGATAAAATACGTATCTAATCTCCTTGAACACTTAGCAAAATACGTAGTTAACTAACGTTTTAAATTTATCAGTACCAAAAGGTGTGACACAAGGAATAAAGCTGTTGGTAAGCTAAACAACAAATTGATAAACTGTATAACTAATCTTTTTTGAAAAAAACTCAAAATCTTCTCACCTCAGTCCATCTTGATCTTCTCATAACGAATAATTGAATTCATTTTGGTTCCGGAGAACACGGTAAATGACAAAATTTTCAAGATCGCAAAGTTGAATCCCCAAAAATGTTAAAGTATTGCTTTTGTAAAACGATTTGAAACCAAAAGCACTCTATCAAAACGTTTATTTTCCCTGTTTCAAGCTCGTCTCGGATTTCATTTCGTTTCATATTTCCATTTGTGTTGGAAGTTTTTAAATTGATCACTCTTTTTTTGCCGCTTTTTGCTTTTCAACTAAAAGATACCCATTTTCGATGATGTATCCACTTGAAGAAGCCCAATGAAGCGCTTTTGAAGCCAGATGAAGAGAAGCTGTGGTGTCAAGTATTCTCCCGAGTGAGTTTTGTTGACGTTTGCGAGGTAACTTGCCTGGTGTCGGCTCTTATTATGAGCTAGAAACTAGTTAGTCGACAGGGTGTGTTACAAAAGCCCACCTGTTTTGGCTGTTTTATGAATTTTTGACCCGTTTGGCTTTAAATTCTGATCAAAAACTCCAGATTTCACGCGGGATCCCTCAATCTCCACTCATCAGTTATCATAGTTACATTATACTTAGAGGTATGGAAAATGAAAAGCTTTACAATACAAAAATTTCTATTATAAATCATTTAGTTTTAGTCGCTCACCCTATTAACGCTGTGAGAGTGGTGGCAACGAGCAACAACAGCCACGAAAGAAAGGTCTGGGTCACTGGTGCATCCTGTTACTTCTCGCGGTTCTCTGCTTCATGGTCTTGGTAAGTTGGGTTGTGATTTTTTCAAGGAAAAAAACCATCACTCTGTAGGTTAGATATTCTCTCAACAAGCATTCAGAATCTGTGGAAAAGATTAGACGCTTCGAGATGCTTTCAACAAATACGTCGCTGAGTAGGTTTTTATCGTTTGCTATTTTTACTCGACTTGTTCAGTTACAAAGAAGATATATATGAATACAGCTGAACGGAATTATCGCTACAACGTTTTCACGGAAAACATGGAACGCTGGGAGAAAGATGAGCGCGTGCTTGGCGGAGAAATTGGTAAGTTGAAGAGGGGTGATCAAGGCTATAGGGCTGTCTTAGGGCTAAATTGTTGCATACTCTTCTATCAATTTCTTTAGATCTTGATGTCACCGAATATGCTGATACTCCGTTGGCTGAAATGAAGAGAGGTTTGTTCACTTAGCAAGTGAGAACTTTTTGTGGCTGAAACTGCTGGCCTTGCGCTTCAATCCACTCCTGCACAATTACGATGCGACCGGTGATGATATCAACAATGAGATAAACAACTTCTTCCGATTTGATACTCCTGATGAAAAGCTTGAGACGCCGAGCGAGCGGCTCGGGGGTATTCATCACGACTAATTGGGTTAAGAAAGGATTTGTAACGCCAGTAAAGAACCAAGGTAGCGTTTGGTTTTTTGTTTTATGTAATTGTTGCGATTTTAGGAAGCTGTGGAAGTAGGTGGGCGTTTGCCGCTGTGGCCCGCTGTTGAATCAGCTTTTACAATTAAAAGTGGTGTTTTGGTTTGTTTACAGCTTTCAACAAGCAGAAACCTTGTTCTAGTTGAATCTCCTAGGCAGCAAATCTCATTGATTGCGGCAATAAGGAATCTGTTGTGGATGCGATGGCGGATATCAAGAAGTGGCTATCAAGTAAAACTGCGAGAAGCGTTCATCAATAATATTTAGGTACATTGCGCAACAGGGTATTCAAAGCAGTTGAGAAGCCCGTATTTTGCGCAAGGTCCAGGACGCTACGTGCAGAACGGACTCTGTATTTGATGTACGTTTGAGCCAATATTAATCGTCGAGATGTTTCAACTTAGATTCGACGTTTCGTGAGAGGACAAAAGGAGATTGCCAAAGTATGAGGAAGCATGGCCGCATGGGTGATTAAAGAGGGACCTAAGTGTCATGGTAGAGAATATTGTGCATTTGCTTTTGATGACAATTTTCGCAATGGCTGTTCCCAGTGCTGGCTTTCGGATCGTGACGGTGTCTTTAATCACCACCTTGATTGGAAGAGCCAGGGCGATGGATGGCATCGAAGTGACGGTGGTTGGATATGGTTGGTTGAAAGAATAAGCGAAAGTTTAACTTTAATTTTAGGGAGCCGACAACAACAAGCCATATTAGTTGATTAAGAACTCGTGGGAAAAACGCTGGGGAATCGACGGCTACTTCAAGCTTGCTCGAGGTGAAGTTTTGTTTTTGCAATAAACCTAAAACTAGAATTTTCAGTTATTCTAGGCGTTTTCACTTAATGTTATTTCACTGAATGGTTTAGGTATCAACGCTTGCGGCGTCGCTGACGATCCGACGGGCGTCATCGTCAAATAAGTCATTCGGTTACCATTCGCACTTCGATGTTTTCAGTACTTTCATATTGTATAGCTCTTAAAAATTCAATGTAACCAATATTTTGAACTCACAGTTCGTTGTTAAACTTAAAGTCGTAATTGAATAAATTTATTTCTTTATTTAAACAAACTTTAAGACCAAAAAGTCAGGCAATGGAAAGCAGGCAGTTGAAATTCAAAGCTAAAGATAAAGAGTGTGACTATTCAGTCTCAAATCCATCAGCTGCTTCTTCGTCGGCAGTGGCCTCCTGAAAAGTGGGAATGAACTATTAGTCTGGGTAATTTTGGTTCGTACTGGATACTGTTGATATTCGGAGATCAAGTCGTTCATATTACTTTCAGCTGCAGTCAATTCAATCTCATCCATACCTTCGCCGGTGTACCAATGAAGGAAAGCTTTGCGGCGGAACATGGCTAAAATTGTTAATTGTTGTTCTTTTGTATTAAGATTGTTGGACTTCTTGGTTTGCAAGGATATCATGGATAGCAAGTTTTTTCTTTTAAGTAAACGAGCTTTTAGAATTGGTTAGACTAACCTGTGAATTGTTCGCCAACTCTCTTGAAAAGCTCCTGGATAGCGGTGGGAATTACCGATGAAGGTAAGCAGCCATCTTCAGACCACACGAGGCGGAATGTCGCAAACCTAAAATTTCAAGGAATTTTTCTCTTTTTTTTATTAAGTTTTCAAGGTGTGCACTTACAGCGGTTTTCACATTGTTCGGAATCCAGTCAACAGTAAGACGAGTTCTGTGTTTTGCACATTCAACATTTGCTCATCGACTTCCTAAAAAGTTGATAGCTCTAAAATCAAATTTCATTTGGCATCCCCTTTGGGGTCACGAGATTTTCAAACTTTTTCAAGACAATTTTGCAAGGTTTTGGAGTAAACCATCGGCAAAAAAGCAAAAGCTCTCTTCAGGATCCCAAGCCATCTCCGATCCACGTACTAACTAGGCTTAACGTTGCTAAACTCGCCAGATCGGATGGGGCCCGTGTTTCAACATACTGTGAGGTCGCAAGAGGTATTGCCTGAGAGACGGTTGAAATAGTGAAAGAGATCCTGATCACCGAAGAGACGCAGACGACGGTGACCTTGTGTGTGTCTCGTAGGAAAGAAACGGCATTTGGCACACGGCCTTCACAGATACCGCCACAGTGATCACCCATTTCCGGGTTGCGTACCCAAGTTTGAGGTTGGCATTAACCCCAAGGCCTTGTAAAAGTGCCTTAAAAATTTTGGAACGCGCTCCGTAAAGGGAGGCACAAACTGTTGTGGATTGCAGCACTCACTTTCATGCTCATTATTCCGCGAGGAAGATGGCCGCAGCTGTGAGATATCGTCCATGTTTTGGATCACATGCGGCCATCATATTCTTTGCATCGAACATCTGTTGCGTGAGATCTTGTACCTAAAATCGAAATGAAAGTGAAGTCTTGGATAATAATATTGATTCATCGTTCGAAGAGGTTTTGATTTCGATACTCGCTCGTCATCGCCTCGATAGACACGGCTACCCCGAGCAGTTAACGGAGCGAAACCTGGAATGGAAAAAGTGAAGACGAGGGAAGGGAACCATGTTGACAGCTAATTTTCGAGAGATCCGCATTCAGCTGAAAGGTTTTTGGATTTGAAAGGAGAAATTAAAAGTAGAAATGACGATAGAGTAATTTTAGAAAGATAGATAAAAATATTTGGCTACTGTTTTGGAGAGAAAAACAAATGGCGTGATTGAATCGAGTCGGATTCAATCCAATTTTAGTTTTTGATCGGATTTGGATGCTATAGTAGTTCGGGAGCAAGTGTGACATTCATCTCTATTGAACCAAAGCTTTTTTTTGCTTCTAAGGTTTTTAATGGCATAGCTTCTTAATTTTGTACTCGATTTGAACCTTAATAACTGTTTACAAGCAGTTATTGAGGTTTTAAGCATCTTAATTCGTCCCCCCTCTACCTCTAAACCGTGGAATCGAGCCACTGAGTGAAGACTCCGGAATTCAAGGTTTAAGAGAACTCAAGCTGACATAAAAGTTGTTTAGGAATGGTTTAGAAATGCTTCCAATGGATTCAGTGCAATTGATTACTCCAAATTTTTTTTTAAAACTAGTGTAAGTAGTGAAAAAACCGGCGTGACAAACTGGGCCCCGAACTACGGGCACTAGAGCACTAGGGCACTAGAGTATTTCGACAAACTACTTGGCATTACCGGATCTGATTTAAATTTGATGGACTCGATTCAAAATCTCATTTTTGAATGGATTTGCTTTCTTTTAATCAAAAGTTTATGGAAAAGATCATCTTTAAATGTTTTTGTTTTCTCAAACCTGTCCAGGGAAACGAAGACATGTAGTCACTCCACTCATCGTCATCGAAACGAGATGATTGAGACCTCCATAGGTTGGAGTCGTCAATTTCAGCGTTCGGAAGCAAATGTCTAAAGAGCCTCATTGTCAAGTGCAGAATGTTTCATCCGTGTTTTCCACATATAATTTTAAGTTTAAAGCAGGAAACTATTTCAAAGGAAAGCTTTTTCAAGCCAATCCCACCTTTAGCTGTAATTCAACAAAGCAACAAAGAAGCTAGATTGGCTAAAAAGCAACTTCCTATCTCTGCCTTCCTAAAGCACTTTTAGCTAGATAAATCACGTTTTTGTTACCAAAATCACTAAAATTCATTGATAAAATTGAAAAATTTTAGCGTTGAACAGAAATTTGCATTTGATAAACCCCAAAAAAACACTCACCAATTGATGAACTGATAAAGTGGCGTTGGCAGGCTCGACCACGGTGTCCGAGACCTGAAAACCCCTTTTCTCACGACTCCGAACCAGTCCTCGGTAGTATAGTGGTTAGTATCCGCGTCTGTCACATGCGAGACCCGGGTTCAATTCCCGGCCGGGGAGAATGTTTTGCTTTTTTTGCAAATTCTTGTGATACTTTAGTTTTAAAATACCTTTGGCGAGGGAACAACAGAGAAAGTGTTTCATAATTCGATCCGGATATTCTTCGCGAATCTTCGAGATCAACAGAGTTCCCATTCCGGAGCCAGTTCCACCGCCAAGCGAATGAGTTAGTTGGAAGCCCTAAACGAGAATTTCGACTTTAGATTTAGACAAATGGGTAGATTTAAACTTGTTTATAGTTAGCGTATATTAGAAAATCGGCTACGGAAGGCAAAAAATGAACTATGAACTGTGCTATGAACTATGACCGTTCAGAATGTTTTAGCATGAGAAAATTGCATTCAAAGGCTCATAACTCTCTTGAAAGTCAATATTTTCAAAAACAGTTTCCAGATAAATAATCCGCAAACATTTCTCTTCATTTTAACCCCTAATTGAAGTGAATCCGAGTGCCTGTGAACCACTTTTAGACGAGCTGAAAGGGAAATAGCGCACGCAAAAATCAAGAAACCTAGTCCTGAATTTTTAAAGAGGTTTTGCCCATTTATTTAGCTTTTTTTTGTATAGTAAATCTTGCCAAAACCTACCTGTAGACAATCACAACCCTCAGCCTCTTTTCGAATCACGTCCATCACTTCGATCGACGAGTTCCGCTCCCTCCGTGTAATGACCCTTGGCCCAGTTGTTACCAGCACCCGATTGACCTGGTTTTTAACTTTTTCGTTAGAAATCTTTTAATCTATAGAAATGGTTTTTGATAATACTAGATGTTCAATATTTATGGAGACTTTTAAGCTCGCAGATCGTTTAGCACTCTCAAAATTTGTTTATGAGAAAAGTAGTTAAAGAAAGCATTGTATAGAAGTTGGAAAGAACTCAATTTTCTAGATTATTTTTAGGAGTTTATTTAATTTGTTATACAAAAACCGATCCGAAAAGGCAAATCGGTCAACAAATTCCACCAAAAGAAATCAGATTTGGGTTGTTCTTGTTTAAAAAGTCCACTTTTTAACAGTTTTAAAATCTATGGGGCATTAAAAATGTTAGAATCATATTTTACAATATTTCTTTTCATATTTGTTAGTTTTTCTTTGAAGAAAGGCTAACGAGAGTTTTAATGAGAAAATCAATTGATTTAATCCGATCACAATAATAAGCCTTTTGGGCGTTTCTAAACAAGCTTAACCGCAAAAGGATATAATTTTGAAAAAAAGTAACTTAAAGTTGTTTATGTTATTGACACCGTAAATACTGTATGGCCAATAGTACCCCACCCCCATAGCGGCGGTGCGGTGTGTTGCGTAGTCTAGCTTTGAACGAGTGTTTCTCGACACTGGTTTATGCTATAATGCGCGTTTAGGTATCAAAAAATAGCCCTAGATTGCAGCTATTTTTTGATACCAAAAACGCATTTTGAGAAGAGTACAGGCGCTTTTGAAAAAAATGAAACACCAAAAAACACATTGCGACTACGCGCGCCTGTACGAGAGGGATGGGGTACTGTCGCAGCTGTTACAGTAAATATCGGAAACTGCGCAGCATTAAACTTGTACAAAATAGGCACACAAAATACAGTAATCTATTGGTTTCCATAAATATTGAACACTATGATTTTTCATTTTCCTATCTTTCAGAAGATTTTAATTTAAAGAAAAGAATTCCTCAACAAGATTTCCACAAATGAAAACAACTTTTTTGCCTTTTCTGCTTCCCAACACTTGACTTTCTTTAGATTTTCTTTGAGCTAATGAATTAATGAATTAACTGCTCTAAGGCGTTGAATAATGAATTAACTAAAGCTTCGATACCAAAAATAAAGTTATCCGGTCGAAAAAGTTCGCCAATCGGCGAGCTCCGAATCGAGTCCATTGTGCCCGGCTCGAGGTCGACGAGAACGGCTCTGAATTTTTATATCAATACTTTCATTCTTCATTGAATTAAGAATCAAGCCTACTTGAGATCAAGGGTTATTTGAGTCAAAATTTAATTAAGAAAACCACTTTAACGATTCGAGAATAAGAAATGAACTTTTGCAGAGCTTTTCAAACGTCAAAAATGTAGCTGTAAAGAATGACACAAAGCTCAGAAGCCACCTTGTTTTTCGATCGTCGAATTCAGCTTTTAAGATGGCAAAAACGACCTAACGCTGAATATTCTTATAAAAGTTTGCAGTTTCTGTTGAAATTTAAGGCTTTGCAAGCAAATTGGCAAACGTTTTGGTTGGCATTATCACTAGAATCAATCCAAGTGCCTAACTTCTTGAATTTCTCTCAAAAACCATCTAGAATTTTCTGAAATTTCTAATTAAATGTAGTCAATCAAAAGCAAAAAAATTATTTTTATACTATTTCTAGATGAATAGCAAAATTTTAGATTGATTGAAGCTGTTATGGGAAACTTTTTGTAGCTCTAAAAAGTTGACGAGTTGACGATTTGGAGAATCGGATTTCAGAGATTTAACGAAAGAAAGAATAGGCATGTGTGTACTCGATATAGAGAAGGTTCCTGCTTTTGGAAGATCTTACAGACCGAAATTTCTTCTGAATTTCGAATTTCTAAATTATTTTTTAAGAAATTTTCTGCTGGCCCTAAAAACGGGAGTGTCAGCCGAACTAAAAACCGAACATTTGTGTCATCCTGTAGTTTATTGTTTTGATGCAAGCTTTTACGATGTCTAGCATCGTTTTTTGAGTTCTAATTTCCAGATTACCGTAAAACCTCTATTAGAGCGGCACGCTCCATTAGGACAACATCCTCTAATCGAGGCAGCACCACCAAAGTACTAATTTTGACGAGAAGCTCACAGATCGAACTTTTTCCAAAAAAATGTGCTCGAAAAGGGTTTAAAAATGATGCATATGGGTTCTAATTATAATTTAAAAAGTCATGTCAGTAAAAAATTCAAATCGATTCTTGAAAAAATTCATCAGAGGGGACCACAGGGTTTTTTGGAGGGGCCGGACATCCGGTGGTTGAACCATGGACATCCCTCTCTAAGAGTGATTGCGTCTCGGCGAGCCGAGTTGATGAATATTTTGGGTTTTTCAAGCTTCTGCAGAAGCTCAGCACTCCTAATCTCCCCCACTAGATCCCATCGTCAGCTACATTTTCCGACCCCACATCGATGAGTTCTGATCAGCGCTTCTTGAGATTTCGATCAATTTAGGCGACGCTCAGGATGCACCACCATTAGAGAGAATACGGTACTTTGAATTTTCCTACAGACTAGAAGATACTAAACGGAAGCTTATTCCAAACCCTACTAATATGGTTCGCAAAAGAATGATAAAAGGGAAAGATGATGGGGATGGGAACCGACCAAAATTTCGAGCAATTTAGGCAACGCGGGGACCAATATTAGGGAGAATACGGTAACTTTTTTGTTTTTCGCGTGTTTTCAGTACTTTTCCAGAGCATTTCCGATGGAACTAGAGTGATTTTAAAAAAAATAATTTTTCACAACCATGGCCGGTACCCCCTTATGTGATTTTATGACCGCTCCAAAAAATGGCTCTGGAAAAATAGAGCTGAGTGCCGCTCTAATAAGAGGATTTACGGTATCTCCTTTTCCCCCACCTTGGCACATATTTCCCATCTTGGCTGCCTCATTATAGTAGACGTTGATGCGCTCTTTTTGTAGATCGACTTCTCCAAGGTATTGGCGGTCAAAATACACCCCCGTGCTCATCGGAAATGGCCTCCGGGAGCTGAAAATTGAAGGCATTTTGTGGAAAATTACTTTCTTTTACTATATTATTCAACATAATCAATAAACAGCTGAATACTGAACCAAAAAAAGCTGAATCTTGTATTTATCAATTGACCTTATCAATTGGCACATTGTCGATACAATTGCGGAATTAAAGAATCATTTTTATGTTACCTTTGAGCCAATTTGGTTCCCACGTGGCCAGTTTGCACATGGACGATCTCATGCATTTCTTCTCACGCTAAGCAAGGAAAAAAATGGATTTAAAGAAAGTTTTATTGCAATCTATTCAAATAACATTTATAACAAAATGACTTTTTGAAAGAAAAAATGGCTAAAGAACAAACTTGAGATTTTCCAAAGAAATGACTTTAAGTATTGCTTTATCAAATGAGGTTTCAAAGTTTTGTTTCAAAGCTTCAAAAGAGTATTTCACTTGAAAAGCAGAAAAGCCAAAAGTTAGCTAGAATAGAAAAGTTTCAAGTTCAAATTCAGAAATTTACAAATTTCAAGTTTAAATTCATGACAAAAGCCTATTAGATTTGATTTCGAATAGCTCCAAAAACGACAAAAACAAATCCGAGCTGGATTTTTGCAAATTTCAAATCAAAATAGAGCTCAAATAAGTTCAACATTTTCCTTTAAGAAGATCTTAGTTTAAAAAATAAAACAATAGAAACGTTTCCCAGAAGTTTTCAGGCCAATGTGAGGAGCGGAGAAGAGCTCTGTAAGGCCCAGCAATAAAATGCATTTTCAATAAACGCAATTTTGCTTTTGGTCATCTTGTCTTTTCCTTTCTTTTTCTCAAAGGGATCATATTCCAATGCTCATAAATGGAGTCATTTTTGTGCACAGACTTTGCCCATTTTCGCCGCATTTTTGATGCAAACGGAATGATTTGAGCCTATCCCTTTTGGAGTCTAACAAAAGGAAAGGATAATGGAAACCTGTTCACCAGCAAAGAGATCCTATGATTTGAAGGAGGAAATTTGAAAATCTGTCTGGAAAAGATTTACAGGTAAAGTAATATTCTTCTAATATTCTAATATCCAATATTCTTTTAAAATTCTTATTTTACTGATTGATCAATAAAAAAAATCTTGCTGCGAAGTGGGGTTCGAACCCCACCCAATGAGGATTTTATTGTTATCTTTTAACAGTATTTATACTTTAAGAGCGCTTAGGAGTTCCGATATGTTTGGCTACTTATAATGGCAAATATGTTTTGAAAAGAACAAAACGATTTTGCTGCGAGTGGGATTCAGAACCCACGCGGACTTGCGTCCATTAGGGCCGAAATTTTAACGCCTTGAACCACTCGGCCATCACAGCATGGAGTTGCTTCGTTTTAAAAGGCGGTAATATAACCTCACTTTCGGGACGCTTTTTAAAAAGTTGTTTCCTGGGGGTACTAAGTACCGAAAAGTGGCCTGAAATAAAACTAGCTAAAACCCTTGTAAAAAAAGTTACTAGGGTTGTAGAACGAAACTCCGCCCTGACTTTAAAAATTGCATTTATTTTCATGCCAATTTGGTGCCTATCAAAACTAATTACGATGGGACATTAAAAAGCTCCGAAATACTTGCATCGTAATCATTTCCACCATGGTTCTTAGAATGTTTATGTTAGGCTTTGCTATATATGACATTACTTGTGTTTACAAATTACTAGACTATTACTAGATTCGTGCGCTTTTTGTACGATATGCCAAAAACCAGTTTACTCAGGCGCTTTGATGTTGAAAAGCAGTCAAGATTGTGCAATAGATAACAAATGAAACTCAAAAATGTAATGCAACTGAATCAATTTGCCGGAAATATGGATAATTCTGATCGAAAAAAAGGAATCAGAACCTAATTTTAATAAATTTTTAGAGTTCAAATGCCGAAATTAATTCACTTGTGATATCAGTGATATTCAATTGCAGAAAACGCGCTAGTAAAACTAGTTACAATCCTTGTAATCAGAGCTTTAAAGGATGGTAAAACAATAGTAAAATGAACGGAAAGCCTCTTCCAAGGATTGTAAAAAAAAATCGAGGCGATGATTTCAAAATCTGCCGGGGAGTAGTTTTTTCAAAGTTCAGGCGCTCTAATAAAAAGGCCAAACTTTTGGAGACTCGAAATATATCAATTCGAGGCTCGCCGTTTTTTCTAGACATTATAAGGGGAATAAGTAGCTAATGAAAACAAGAAAAAGCATCCCAAAAAGCAAAAAACAAGCAAACATTGTAATAGCTGCGAATACTTTTAAATTATTTTTACTTTTTAATACGTTAAAAAAGTTACAAGGCTTATAAAAGCGATTACGCTCAAGATTTTTCACGTAAAACGGGATTGTAAGATTTGGAGTTATAACAGGGGTTGTAATAGGGGTTTTTAAACACAATATTTGCACTCAAACGAGCTTTGTTTTAACCAGACTTGGGCATTGGGTTGGGGGTGGATTGGAGTTGAACGTGACCAAACCAACAAGAAAATTCTCAACAAGAAAATTAATAACACGCTTTCTGAAGCTAATAAAACAATTTTTTTGTGAAAAACGGCTATTCAATTAAGTTACTGAATACTTTTATTTTCTCGCATAAAAATGGTTTTAAAAAGAAATTTATACCCTTTTAAAGTCACTTTGTTGACTTCTTTTTCATTTTGTTTTTCTCTAACGAACACTTTTAAAGTTTTTTTTGCCAAACGATGTCAAAGTTACCAGGTCATCTACGCCAAAATCTAATCAAGAGAAAAAATAAGGTAATACTATCAAATATCATTTGATAAAAAAGTAAAAAGATCCTGCTGCGGGTAGAGGTTCGAACCCCGCGCGGACTCGCGTCCATTGGAACTTAAGTCCAACGCCTTGGACCACTCGGCCATCACAGCATGGCGTTAAGGCTTTTTAAAGGCGATCTTATAACTAGGAATAACAAAGCAACCGTAATTTGAATACCATGTTCTGATAGAAGAAAAACGCTGTTCGATTTGGTTTTGACAGAAAATTTGTGATAACTTTTGTGAAATTGATGCAAATAAAGAAGAATTTGTTTTCCTAATCCGTAAATACACAAAATGAAAATAATACTCGATTCTGGGATACAAAATCTAGAAAATGAAAATCTTGCAAATGAATTACATTCAAATCCCACACACTCACCCGATCTTTACTGCAAAAGTTAAAAAGTTTAGGTTTTGAAAAGATAAAACAGCCTCCAATTTAATCTCACCAAAAGAAATATCGAGAAAACAGAACTTGAAAAAATAGGCAAAACAATTGTAAAAGAAATACTTTATTACTTTAAAATTTGCATTTATTTTCATGCCAATTTTGCGTCTAAAACTAATTCTTACGCATGACAATATGACGTGTTTGTTTTTTAAGATTACTGGACTTGGCTAAGAACTCGTTCGCTTTTTTATGATATGCCAGAATCGAGTTTATTCAGACACGATTGTGCAATAGATAACAAAAGGGAGTTCAAAATTTAGGTAAATGGTTGTCCAGAACTTTCTCAAACTCACTAGGAAGCTTTTGACTTTTGTTGTTTTGTTGTCTGATGTCGCCGCTCTTAATCACAATTGGTGCCGCTTTAGAAACGATTCCATCTAACCGAATCTTCTTTTGAAGAAAATTTCTGCATCAGCCAGTCGATTAGCCGCTTCGTTCCATTTGCTTTCTTTCGCTCCTTTTCCAAGAATCCATATTGCCAAATAATAAACAATAATAGTAAACATAATAAACACGATTAGGATAACTACAAATCGTTCTAAAATAGCATTTATGTCGAAACCGCAACATCGAGCCGTCGTTCGTTCGATGTTTTGACTTGTTAACCTGTTTGTTATCTAACTTTGTTGTTTTGAATATCAATTTATAAATTTGAAAAAAATTGTTTTTGTTTGTGAGCGTTTTTTTGGAAAAATACAATATATTTTGTCGATTTTTAATCCTTTTCCATTCTCTCTATTAGTACGGCAGTCTAGGAGGGGAGTTAGAAAAGAATAGTACGACGCCGTACTATTAGAGGGAGTACAGTATTTCTGAAAGCTAGCGTAGTGAAACCGTTAATTTACACCCGATTAGCCCAATTTTGGTATCATTGACTCAGCCTTGGCCGGAGTTCCTTAAGAGGAACACACTCTAATCAAAGTATCTACAAGTACAGTCAGCTCTCGCTTTAACGACTTGAAGTTTGCAAAAGTTGGTTTAAGATTATAAGATCCAATACTTTATTCATGTAAACCATGAAAAAAAGTGACAATGGAATTATGTTTAAATCACAAAATGATACATAATAAACTTCTTGGAAACAAGAGAGGAATTGTGGAGACTGAAGAGTGAATTAATTCTATTCAAATTCAAATTAAGAACTAGCATCTAGCAAAATTTAAAAACAAATCTAAATTTAAATTCGATGTTGTTAAATGAATGAATGAAAAAAACTGAATTGAAGCGCTATCTTTAACACTTGATCCAACCAAATCAAGCGAGATTCAGACAAGTACGATCTCGATGGCCCTTGACCCAGCACTGTATCGACTTCTGATTACTTTCTAAAAGGATGGCTACTCCAGTTTGCTTGAAGAATCTCAAGAGTCTAACAGTTAATACTTGCTGTATCCGTTCAACTTAAACTCCTAACACTTTTTTAAAGAATAAATTTGTAAAAGTAATGATAAAATCAAGATTCAAGCACTATCTTCAAAACAATTTACGTGAACTCTAAGAAACAATAATGTTATAAGAAAATTATAAGTTAAACAGCCAAAGTTAAAAGGTAAACAAGCATTAATTTTTCACACGAATTTTTGTTCAAAACCTTAAACTGTAAAAAGTGATGCTTGTTCTCCACGTTGTTCTGGAAACTATAGCCTACTAGAGCTGTTCATTTGTCAGTCTGATTGTCAATTCGGTGTACAACGGAAAAACGAGATTTGACCACTTCAGCCTCTACTTTTGCAGGGGTTTTTAGAAAATGGAGCTTCGAAAATTCCACCTTCGTGTAACAAAAAATGCTGCAAAGAGTTGGCGGCGTTGAAGTGATCAAGTCACGTTTCTCCGTTGCACACCTGGTAAAATCAGACCCAAAAGTGAAAAGCTCTATAACCCACGATCAAGTTTTGAGTAAAATTTCAAATTAAAATCCGATTGATTTTTGATTTGATATAGAATTGATATGAATTAGAAATCAGAAAAAAACACAAAGCCTTGCTTCAATCGTTTCTCACCGAAATACACG